CTCGTCTCTTGGTGCCTCACAAGGTAGTTAATGTGAAATGGGGTCAAGTCCAATTTTCCTTCTGGAGGAGCTCCCAGGGCCAGTGGGAGTAAGGATCGTTAAGAGAAAGCCCTCTTCAGCCACTGCTGATGTCACCATTATCTGAATTATCTAGAGGAAGGCTTTCTGGAAGCCTTTCACGTGTGTTTGGAATGGTTTGTTACCAGTACCTATTTCTTTTGAAATATTTAGAGGTGCATCTTTTAAAAGCTTTGTTCCACACATTTTCAATGCGTATTAGTGGACAGGAGCAGGCCCCTGATTCACTGTTTATACAATGGAAGGCTGAAGCTTCTTGTTCGGCTCTTGGCAGGTAGGGGTCACAGGAAGTGAAGCTGAGACCCAAAGGTCAAACCCCATCGCTCAGCGCAGCCCCTCTCCTGGTTAATCATCAATGACAGGACACCCAGGAGAGCCCTTTTCTCTCTTAGGAAGCCCAAGTCTGTCCCTGCCAACCCTGACTGCTGACACCAGATCCTAGGAGCCAAGTCTGAGGCCTAAAGAGTTCGGAAGAACCCAGGTCCACAGAAGTGTCCAGCCTTTAAAAAAAAAATAATAAAAAATAATATATATGTGTGTATATATATATATTTGTATATTATATATATATATATACATACATACATACAGGCATACACACATACACTCACACCCCACAAACAGAGCCAGAAAGGAAATATCCCCGTATTTTTAACCGAATATTCACTCCCTTGTCAGAGTAATTCTCCTGTTCCAGTAAGTTCTGGGTGCACAAACCCTATAGCATGAGGTGTGGGGCAGCAGGGCTGACCCAAGGTGGATTGTCCTGGGTTCATCCGGGGATTTGGGTCTCTTGAGAAGCCTCTGGCTTTCTCATAAATGAGGCTGCTCGGTCTATCATGCAGCTCCAGGGCCTCTGCAGAACCAGGGATCATGGGGAGCCGTAATACCCTCTTTGCCCTGGTTCCAGGTGGGGAGCAGTAAACACCAGGGTCTAGTGTCGTCACAGGAGCTCATCCCCCGGGATAGAGAGCAGGCTTCAGAGATGGCAAGAGAATTTAAGGTGCTAAAAGTTCTGGGGTCAAGTCTTTTCCAGGACAATGTAGCCCTGGGGTCCCTTCCCGGGAAAGGGGTACCTCCTGCCTCAGGCAGGCAGTGGAAAGCCCTCTGCCACCTGGACAGCAGCTGGACTGAGGCTGAGGCAAGAGCGACACTGGGTTAGATTTCGGGGATGGGGGGGGAGGGGGAGGTCCAAGCTCCAATGTGTGCCCTGAGGCTCCTCATGGTTTTTTTTTAAAAAGATTTATTTATTTATTTGACAAGCAGATATCACAAGTAGGCAGAGAGAGAGGAAGGGAAGCAGGCTCCCCGCTGAGCAGGGAGCCTGATGCAGGGCTTGATCCACTGAGCCACCCAGGCGCCCCCTCCTCATGGTTTTTTAAAAGCAGCTGCCTCATGCGAGATCAGTAGGTTAGACTCCTAGGACCCACACATCTCTTAGTTCTTTCAGCTGGAAAACGGATGCTCTTAAGTCAGGAAGCTGTTTGGGCCCCAAAACTCTATCAACATCTGCTCTTAAAACCTCAGTCTCACAGGCTGCTGGAATAACCTCTTGGAACACTGTATCCCGTGATGCGGTTACTGTTTCAGAGACTGGAGTTCGGAGTCACAGAGCCTCGGAGTGAGAACCCACCATCTGAGGGACCACATTTCGAAGATGAATCCAAGGTCAAGGTCTTGGACCTTGAGAGGTCTGGTCAGGGACCACCACCTGCACAGAATCTGCTGCATGTTTTGCTCCTGAGCACTGGGGGCAGCCCGGGGAGCCGTGGCTTGCCTGCCCCAGGAGAGCCTAAGGTGCTCATTCCCAGCAGAGCGCCACTCCCTAGGTGGCCTTACTCTCCCTCTCCCTGGTAGACACACAGCTGGGCCTACCAGAGAATCCATTAGGAGGCAGTGCGGAATAAAGAAGGGTGGGAAAGTGAGTAAGGAGAAGAAAACAGTGGAAGAGAGTTTGGGGGAATGAAAGCATGTGACCAAGTTTTCCCTTTGTCCGAAGGGCCTTCTAACAAAACCCAACACGTCCAGTAGACAGGCAACATTGCCACCTGGTGGCCATCGAGGGCACATGCTTAGGAAAGGAAGTGCTGAGCTCATCAACCCGGCGCTAGCCTTTTGATGCAAAACCCACCCTGCCCCCACCCTCCCGGGTGAGGCAGGCATTTGGGTGAGGCAGGCATTTGGCGCAGGGGGGCACCTATTTAGGCAGACTGCCCCCGCCGCCTGTGAACTCCGGGCCAAGTGAGTATCCTTCCCTCGACATTAGCCGACAGGGTCTAGGAGATCTGGGCTGACATGCAACATGGAAGCTGAACCTGCTGCCCCACAGGAAGGCAGGTGGGGACCTTCAGGCTACAGGACGTCACAGGCCTTCAAGGTGTGGACAAGCCTCCCAGCCAGCCTCATTTACAGTCAGCAGTCACCAGCCACTCCAGGTGCAGAGACAGGACTCTGGAGGTGGGGCTTCTTAGTTACCACTGTCTTAGGGTGACACTCCCTTCCCACACCCACCCAGTCATCTTCCTCTGTAAGGGCTTCTCAGACACAAAACCAAGCCAGAGGCTGCTGCTGAGAGGAGTCAGATGAACAAGGAGGGTGTCTGTTGTTGCTTTTAAGAAAGGGCTGAGTAATCATTGAGGCTATCATCTTATTGATCAAGGTCCAGCCATTTGCCAAGGTATATACACATTTTATTTAAAAAAGTTTACAGTTTTCATTATACACAACTATTAAGAGGTTATAGTCAGAGGAGGCATTTGTCCTGTTGACAGAAGTGCCCGCTAGATCATCACAATGCAAGGAGAAAGGTGGGAGGGAGGAGAGGGCAAGGAAAAAATAAGCGATAAAAAGCTTAGATTTCAGTTAAGGGCTGGTAAGTCCCTTTTCTCTCTTCAAGTATCACACAATATGTACCAAATACAATCAGTAAATAATGGCCATTTCTTCCCAAGCCCACAGCCAAGACGAGTATTTGCCGAAGAAAGTGAGAGTCCTGGCCCTTCCTCAGGTGGGTGGAGACCCTGCCCGCCCGACCAGGGTGAGCTCCCCCTTCCTCCAGGGGCCTCCACCCCAATCCTTGATGGAACTGCCAAGGTGTTCAGTGGCCAGAGAAATTACGAACATGGATTCAGAAGTCCAAAGAAAACACAGGTCTTTGCGCCCAATCAGGAATAATTTGATTTTAGTCAAGAAGGCCGAGAACCCGGTTAGAAGTTGGTACAAGAACTCTTGCTAACTCTTGTTAATGGCTTTCATTTTTTCTGATTGAGTCCCTAGAATGTAGAAGGGCCACGAGCCATTTAAAAATCAAACACCAGTTCCCAGAAACTTGGGTGTCTAGAAACTTCCCCCATGAAGGCTAGCAGAGGATCTGTCTTTCATGATTCTAGCCGTTAACAGGAGGCCTAATGAAAAGCAAGTGTCAGGCCAAGGCCAATCAACTTCAGAGAGCATTTTGAGGAGGAAAAAATTCCTTTGAGGGGAGACACTCCTCAGGAGCTTAGATCAGCCAGTTGGCAATGAGAACAGCTTCTGAAGTGGAAGGACGATGTTAGGTACTGGAGAGACATATGGCAACTTCTGAAAACTACCTTACTAGTATAAAATGCTGGTTGAAACTGCACAGTCACCTCAAGGAGGGTGACAAGATCAAAGACAAAAGAGCACAATGCCAGCATCTAGCTTGGCTACCATGAAATGCAACCTGCCAGGCAAAGGATGGCTTGCGCTGGTCAACCACAAGGTAAAACTTGGAAACTATGGGTATGCTAAGAAAGGGAGGGAAACTGCCAGAAGCAACTCTGACCTACCACCACCACCTTTAAAAGCAGTCATGTTCAGCCCCACTGAGGGGCTCTGGATGCTTTTCTGAGTGTTACGACGGGAAATCTGGAAAAGTTTCCGGAGCTGTCACACCCCCTCTTCTAGCCTTACGGTATCATCAACCACTGGGGGCCAGAGTCCTCTGATTTCCAGCCAGGCTTTCTTCCAGCTCCCTCTGTACCTAGAAGCACGGTCGTCTCCTCCTGGCTACCTCCCCCAGGTACAGGAAGGGACAAAAAGTTAGCATAAGGAAGATTCTGTTCAACTCATCAAAGGCCAGTTTCTCAGACGAGAGGGAAAGCCCCACATGGAGCCAAAAGCATGCATGGGACCAAGGTTAGTGCCCAGAAAGGACAGATCTGCACGGAACCAGCAGGTACAGCGTGATCTGGGTAGCCATAGCCATTCCAGGAGCTTCCTGCACTAACAGGGAAGCCTCAGTACACCTTCATCAGACAGACTTGGATGGACAGACACACACGCACACATGCTGCAGCCATACTTGGGATCTGCTTCTTAACCCCTGCGACCTCCCCCAACACGTCTTTATTCGGATATTCTGCACCACCAGACTCCCAGTGCCAGAGCGTTCAATCCGCGGCGAGCCAATGTCTTTTTTGAGAAAAAGGTATTTAGTCGGGGAGCAGAGCTGTGGCTCACATACATTCCCCCAAACTTGGCTCTACTTGTTTTGTTTGTTTTGTCTTGTTTTTGACAAGATTAAAAGCAATTATTATCTGGACATTATTTTTTTTGAAAGGTAATTAGAACACTATTGTTTATACAATATTGAAAAAATACAATTTTTATTGTTTGAACTCAAATCACCACCCAGCACTTTTAAAGCCTACCCTAAGTCGCACCTACAATTTAAACGGTTATAGCACAAGCAAACTGCTAATTCAGCAGGTAAGCAGGTTAGACAGCGCCAGCAGAGACCCTCCCTCCCCCAAAGTAAGAGAAGACAACGCGCTAGAGAAGTTAAAGCACACCATTCCATGTTAAAGAGTTAACACTACCCCTCCAACAAGCCACAAATGCTAGATAGATAAACTCGGTACGGTTAACTAACCACAGCCCTACGTAACTGCACTTTAAAATTTTTTTTTAAAGAAAACCTTTTGCTTCATGCCCGTAATTAACATAAATTAAGAAAATTCTCTGTCTTTTAGGAAAATAATCATGCTAAAAGCAAGTTGTACTTTCTATAGATTTTCAAAGAAAAGACTGATTGTGCTTTTTGAATAAAAAAAGATAGGGTATCTTCCAACCTCACTGACTCCAATCTTGTGGAACACAGATAGCACTTCTAAACTAAAAACACACACCAGAAAGAAAAACTCAATTATCCCAGTGGGACATTAAAAAATGGTCTTTAGAAGGTTTTAGGATTGGCTAATTCTGCTACTGTCCTATTGGTTGTGGCAAACAAGGGATACAGACTTGCTGTCTAAGGTTCTCCAAACTCAGCAGGCAACACTCAGATTCGAAAGAAACTCTGCCGGCAACCTGGACATATGGTGAGCTGAGTAAACATTTGATTAGCAGGCATTTTAAACGGTCTGGTTTCCTCTTAACACATACAGGAGAGAGTATGTTCTTCCTTCAAAACCTGTTCTACTGCATCGTATTTCCGAACGCTTTCCTCTTACTCAGTCACACTCTGAAGAAACGCCGTTTGTTTTTCCCGTGTAGAGTCACTTTGGGTACAAGGACCTTTATTTGTTCCAATTATTACTCATTTTCAATTTAGAATGTGTGTTGGGTCTAAAATACCCATTTCCCACTCCCACAAGCAGATGATGACCAGGTTGCCGCCAAGAGTGGCAGCAGAAGGGAAAACAAAACCAAAAACATGAAGGGGAGGAGAGTACCCGGGAGTCACAGCCACCAGACGGGTCTTCTTGCCGAGTCTAATGGTCCACTGAGCGGCTGTCCAAGGAGGAGGCCATCTCTTGGTAGGTGAAGATTATAGGTGAAGATTAAATTTGCAACCTAAGCACAATTCACACACACACCATTTTAAAAATAAAGGCAGGGGAGCTGGGGGGAGGAAAGGAAGGGGAAGAAAAAAAAAAAAGCTCCAACCCAAACAAAAACACCTACAACCACCCTCAAATTTAAAGCTCTCAGTCCAGGGCAGCGGTCTCAAAGTGGCCTAGAGGACAAGGAGGCGACTCTGTAGGTGCTGGATGAGACAAAGCACCTTCCTGGTCACTCTACTCCTCCTGTCCTGTCCCCTCAGAAAGCTATGGATTACAAGCGCTACCCCAAGAAAAAGAATCCGGTTCAGAAAACACTTCCAAGAGGTTCTCCAAAGCAAAAACACTTGTGGCTGCAGGGCCTGCTAGTGAGTCGGGCAGGAATCTACATATAAAAATGTACTTAAAACCCAGAGTCAGAAATTGTTTTACGTTTCAATACTCCAATTAGCTCCCTGTTTTCTACTGTTACTCCACAGAAACGGGGCCACCTGGGAGTCCCAGGAAGGAGCGGCTCCGGCTCTGATGCGGCCGGCTCCTCGTGCTCCCACAGCAGGCCTGGTCCGCCCCCAGTTCCTCCCGTCCATTTTGAAAAAGCACTATTCTATCTTCACGTCCAAGAGCTGGATGGTTTGGTTTGTTTCTTTGGAACCATCAATAAAAGAAGCAACTCTTTTCCTGTTATCCTTACTCACATCTATCTATCGGAGTGGCTATGTGACAGCTGGGCAGCACACAGGCTGACCTGGCCGAGTGGACTTGTGAATGCATGCATTCAGACCGCATATTGCTACCAAAATGGAATGTGGGAATATGCACCTCAGATTGAGAAATGACCAAGAAATCAAGATCTAAAGGGTGATATATAATATATATATATCAATGCTATTATTCATAAAAACCTTGTTTAGTAATAAAAAAAATTGCTTTGTTTAAATATGAATATTATAGTCTGCTTCTCATGGTTAGGAAATAATAGTCTTTCTGAAAAGCAGGTGCTTTTTCTACTACAACTCCATATCCTGGGCCTCATCTTCCGAAAAGTCAGACATAGAACTCTCCGACGAGCTGTCACCGGTGCCCTCCTCCTGCTCTTTCAGCGCCTCCTCTGTTGCGTATTTCTGGATGTACTCTGCACAGGGGGTGGGGAGGAAGAAAACACAGGGGGCAGTGAGCAGGCAGGTCTGTGGTTCGGTGACCCCCAAAGTTGGCGCGGGGCTGGGGAAGTTCAGGCCTTCCTTACCTGCCAGGCTATGGTCACTATAGCTAAGGGGAGACCCCACGGAGGATGTCTTTGGCATTCGTGCATTCTGCCCCCTTCGTAAGAGAGGCGAAGCAGAGCATCTGACGTGTAGGGAAGAGACACAGACTGCACCTCCAGCCCCAAACTCCCCAGTGCCATCACCTCCCAGGTGCATGTGTCGGAGGCAGCCCACCGCCCCGGGCCTTGGCTGCGAAGCAGGGGAGAGCCGGCAGATGTCCAGGACGGTGTCTGGTGTGAACTGGCCTCCAGTTCGGCCGCCAGGCCGCCCTCGCTCTTGCCTTGTTGGCTTATCCATATGGCCGAGCTCCTCCAAACTTGCAGGACTGGGGACATGTGGACCCCCTACTTTCTCCTTATCTCTGTGTTAAAAAAACTATTCACCTCCCAGGCAGAGCAGGACTAGTTATGATTCCACAGTAATTTATAAGGAAATCCCCCATCATTTTCAGACTTGCACTTATATAATTACAGTCAGCCCAAATCCATTATTTTAGGAACAGATTTTAGCCTAAACAGATCCTGCCTGTCAGGTTTCTGAAGCAGCTGGTGAAAACGGTCTCTCCATCCGCTCGGGAACGAGCTGCTATCTGGAGACACAGCGAGCCTGAGCGACTCGATCATCTACTACTCACCTGAAGATCTGGCTGAAACAAAGTTTTAAGAACTGCTGAACAAACAACTTGTTCCTAAAAACTCTAAGTGCACACTGATTTTCAGTAAATGGCCTACACACAGTATGAAGACACAAGACAGGACCTACTGAGAGAGTCAGCAGGAGAGAAACACGCCCTCATGTCCTTACACTGTGTTTCTCTCCTACGGAGTCACAGGCACTGAGCACAAGAGTAAGGGAAGGAAAATGGCCAAAGGAGCTGGCCAAGTTTGAATAATGTAACATAGGGGCCTAGCTAAGAGTATTTCTGATATATTTAAAGCCAGATGCAGGGCTCGATCCCAGAACCCTGAGATCATGACCTGAGCTGAAGGCATATGCTCAAATGACTGAGCCACCCAAGGGCCCCTAAAAGGTTGTTTTAAAAAAAAAAAGAAAGAATGCGTGACAGAGACTACACGTGGTCACATCTGGCCCTTTACAGAAAAAGTCTGCAGATTTCTGACTTAAAACCCTACAAATTCATTACATGAAGATTTAGGCAGAGATGAGACTTCAAAAGCTCCTGATTAGGTAAGAACTCACCTGAATTTACCTCTTAGAAATGTTTATTATAGGGGTGCCTGGGTGGCTCAGTGGGTTAAGCCGCTGCCTTCGGCTCAGGTCATGGTCTCAGGGTCCTGGGATTGAGTCCCGCATCCGGCTCTCTGCTCAGCAGGGAGCCTGCTTCCCTCCCTCTCTCTGCCTGCCTCTCTGTCTACTTGTGATCTCTGTCAAATAAATAAATAAAATCTTTAAAAAAAATGTTTATTATAGTCTCAGAAAGGTTATTTTTACCCTCTAATAGGTCAGCTACTTTGCTGCATTTGTAGAAAGAAGCTGCTGCACTTTGACATTTCTCACTGACACTGTAAGGTGATATTATTAGTCTTCTTTAGTATATTTGAGGAAATAAATATGTTTTAAGTGCTTAGCATACTAGGACATGGCCTTTCAGGAGACAGAAAAATTAAGAGCAAGGTCATTCATGAGCGGGAGGCCAGACGCAGATGAAAGGAGTCAGCTGCCAAGTGCGATCGGGGCGAGCGTGAAGGCAAGGCCTCTGGCCTCTTAGAGCTAGGAAGGCAGGCACATCTGCACTGACCCTTGAAGGAATTCTCAGCTGTAGCACAGAACATGCCATTCCAGGTGAAAGGCACAGCCTCACCAAAAGCAGAGGGGAGGGGGTGCCTGGGTGGCTCAGTGGGTTAAGCATCTGCCTTCAGTTCAGGTCACGATCCCAGGGTCCTGGGATGGAGCCCTGCGTCCAGCTCCTCACTCAGAGGGGAGTCTGCTTCTTCCTCTCCCTCTGCCTGCTGCTTCCCCTGCTTGTGTGCTCTCAAAAAATCTTAAAAAAAAAAAAAAAAAAAAAAAAAAGGGAGAAGGACATGGCCAGGATGTGAAAACACAAGGCCAAGAACTACATTTGTATCTGAAGCAAATAAGGCAAAATGTACAGTAGGTCTTACTGTAGTTGGATGGTGAGTATATGGTTAAGTTATTTTCTGGGTTTTTTTTTTAGGTTGACACTTTCCCTATGGAAGGGAACGTAGCTGAGTATCTGAAACTCATCCAGTGTGATGGTCACATATTGCTACATTTAGGAATGAAGGTGAAGATGGAGATCACACACAGTGAGAGAGAGCCATGAATGGCAGGCTAAGATGCGGAAGTGTGCGTATCTTTAGACAGTTCCCTGGTGCTCCTCCTACATGCAGCTCCTATCTACATGATAAAAAACGTCAACTTAATGTGAATGCTAACAAAATCCATGGTAATAAAAGTTACACACGCTGACCTGTGAGGTTAGGCAGAGAAATGTCTCCTGGTAGCAGCCTGGGAGAGAGTTCCCATCTAGACATGTTTTTGGAAATCACCTACCTGGAGGGAATCACCTAAAGCAGTGAGGGGTGAATCGGCTCCCCAAGTGGTGAGGGGGGTGAGGGAGGACTGAATGACCCGAGAGGCTCAAGACAATGACCATGTCTGGGAATGGAATGAGAAAGGTTTTCAGGAAGGGAAAGGGCAGAACCAAAAAGCTGCAGAGAAGTCAGGAAAACATGTCTTGAGCAGAGTGCACATGATTAGGGAGACAAGGGAGTCATAGATTATCAGAAGAGGAGGGAAAACGAACTAGCAGGGGTTTAGGGCGAGGAAGTAAGAAGTTTGAAAATGACAGGAAATCAAGAGCAGGACTCCTACTAAAGAGGTCCACAGGAGCAGACAAAAGCTTCTGAATGGGGGATGCCTCCGACAGGCTGGGTGCAGAGGAGAACCCAGTGGTGGGAGGCAGGGGAGAACTGGGAGGACAAGCCCCCTGGCTGGGGGCTTTTGGTGGGGGGCACGTCTAAGCCATCAGGGTAGTTCTTACAGTCCTGATTTTCATTACTCAGGAAGACAAAAATGATAGCCAACACTGACATTTCAGAAAGCAAAAATTCCCTAAGCTAGAGCTTGCCATTCTAAAATAAAAATGTAGATTGGATTCCTTCTGTAACTGGTACTATAGCAGATACGTACTAAAACAGGAATAGTGCTAAATTGCTGAGGCATAATGAATGTAAGAACTATAGAAATATCTCCACGGCGAGATGTCTGTGGGCTGCAGACACTGTTAAGGGATTCCTGTGTCCCAAGTTTAATACAGTCTCATAAAAGAATTTCATCTGGTGGAAACAGACTGCTTTCTTTCCTCTTGAAATACTTATTTGGCTATACAGATATTCTGCTACATAAATTAGATATTAATTTCCAAGGAAACCTGAAACCCAAGTAAATTAACTGGAGTAGATTTATTTATCTCAACAGAAGTACCAAACAGTACCCTACAGGAATCAGAGAAGAGCGAGAAAACCAAAGGGAAGCCTCAGATGCGCCTATCTCATGCCTGCACAGTTAAGAGTGAAGACATATACATTCCAGACTCCTGTAAATTATTTCTACTGCCACCTCTTGCAAACGGACCTTAGAGGGGCCACACAACCGGCAGAAGCTGACAATCTTCAGGCAAGTCATGCTAACAATTAGGTAACAATGACCCGCTATCTGGTAAGGAGAGCAGGCCTACCTTCATGGACTTTGAATTCATTTCCTTTCTGGTGGAACTTATCTAGACTTTTCACTATGAAGGTTCTCAAGCACACGGAGAGGTAAAAATGAATACCAGTAAACCGGTGTGAAGTTACAGATGTTCTTCCAAAACCACAAGTTCATTTTAATGAACTTCATGTCCCATTAGCAGGTAACTTTCAGAGTGAGAAAGGAGGATTCCAGATCGTAAAGGATGAGCAAATGAGCGCTCCTACCACGAGCACATTTCTACCTAGCACAGCACATTTCAAGTTTTACTAGAAAACTGGGCCCTAGGGCCACCTATCTGCAGCAGACAAGAAATGCGCCCAGGTGTAAACTTTCCAAAGTGAAAGAAAATCAGTATGGAGCCAGGAAAAGAAACCAGCTGGATATTCTTAATTCAACAGGTAAAATGATACAATAAAAAAAAGTGTAAGGATAAATTTGGCATTTCCCAACTTCTAAAGTTAACAGCTTTCCTGACCAGCCAGGATGATTCAGTCTGTAAACAAATGGGAGATTATGCCTTATCCTTTACTACTTCATTCTTGAGTCCCAATTTCCTAATTCTACAAGACAAGAGGAAGCAAATGAAGGCCGCGGTTCTGCTGGACAGGGGTCCGTGGGGATTTCCACCACACCCGGTAAGTGCCCTCCCCCACTTTCTCATCTTTCCTTTTGCTCTTTCTCACTCCTTCTCGTCTTCCTTGCTGGGACCTTCAGCCTTCCCAAGGTGTGGATGACCCCTTGGAACTCCAGGGGCTAGTGAGTTCTGCTCCAGCCCACAGACAGCGGTCTCTTTTAAGGCCTGAGAAAAATTATTATTAACTAAGAAAGGCATTTAATGATCTTAAAAGGCATTTAAAGCCCAATACATGTTAAGTTTTTCTGTCTCTAGGTTGAACTATTTGCTCTCTCACCTTTAATTTTCTGCTTGTATTCTTCTGGTCGGTGGAGGTACATCGCTGCAGCATCACCGTTCAGAGGATCTATGGGGTTGGGATAGGCCAACAACTGGGGCAGGAAGGACTCAAATATATTGGTAAGATCTGAAAAAACAAACAGAAATATGTCATGCATGGAATAAAACAAGTTCACCTAAAATTCACTTGAGTTCAGTAGTCAACACTGCTTATCTTCCAAAATAATCAGCCACACGGACGTTTTCTGTAACAGTGTGCTCTGTTACACGTGAGCTCTAGCACACAGGCTTTTCAGTATCAATTTTAAAACTTAAAATTTAATTTTGATTTGAAGAATCAGATGAAGGTGTGTCTGATATTCACTTCCAAAGGCAGTTGTCTAATTCTAATTCATTCCGTGTTCTAAACCAAGAATTCAGAAATACTACAGACATTAATTAAAATGCATGCCCGAAACTCCACAGCACTCTACAGTCTTACAAAACGAGTAGTTATCTCTTAATATCGCCTTTTTCTACAGCTTTGAAAATTCCCACTCTGGAAGCTATTCAAGCGCCAGATCTCAAAAGAAGTTTTATAGGCCTTGATGTTTAATTCAATTCTCATCACCTTTAATGGAGGTAAACAGAACCAGTTTTTTCATTCTTCTGGCTAATGAAGGTAGGAACCTACATAGGCCACTTAAAATCACAGATAATCATGAGACAGAGAAGTACCAATTTACTGAATTTATTCATAATCATTTTAATAGACACATATTAGCTCCCTTCTTGCCAGATGCAGCACGAGGTACTGGGTGTACAGCGAAACATTTCACACATGGCAAAGTCAGCAAGAACTTTGCAGCCACATAGTGCTTTGTAAAGGAAACGGGCCTTGCAAACCTGTAAAATAAACTACACATTTCCATGACTTCAGAGATGCGGTAACGTCCGTTCCATTTGGCCCTCAGCAGTCAACTGGGGAATCTTAGTGCCTCCAGCAATCTGCCCTCCTTCAGTTACTCTATCATGTTTTGTGGAAAAATTTCTGTTTCTGGGGAAGGCTAAAGCACAGCAGCATAAGAACCACTCCTAACATTTATTCTGCTCTTTTACTGTATTTTTTCCCCTTTACAACGAGCACTCTGATGCAGTCTTCTAAGTGAATGTCTGCTCATGTCACATCACTGTGGTTCTCAGGGAGGCATGGTTTTGCTCCCTGGCAGACATCCTGTGATGTCTGGAGAGATTTTTGGTTGTCACACCTGGAGGGCGGAGGGGGAACCAGTGGTGCTAGCAGCCCTCCCGGTGAGAAGCAGGGACGCGGCTAAACACCCCACAATGCACAGGACAGCCCTTTACAACAAATAATTATCTGGGCCAAAATTCAACAGTGCTGAGGTTAAGAAATCCTGGTCTAGTTAAAAGGGGTTGATAAACTTTTTCATAGAGGGCCAGAATAAATACTTTAGACCTTGTGGGCCAGGTTTGGACTCTCTTTTAACAACTCAACACCTAGCTTTGCCACCGTAGCACAGCAACACTCACAGATAATGGGAAAACAAAACGGGTGTGACTGTAAATCAAACTTTATATACAAAATAAATTAAACTTCATATACAAAACCAGGCAAACGTGTGCCACTCTCTGCTTTAAAAAACCCCAGGAGTAACAGCTCTTCCTCGTCAGTGTAAGGCTTCCCTAACGGTCAGGGTGCACAGCTGGAGAATAAGCTGGAGCTGCACCGTTTTACGGAACTTTCCACATGATGAGAATGTTCTGCATCGGCACCGTCCAATATGGCAGCCGCTGGCCACATGTGGCTATGGACGTGCTATGGCTGGTGTAACTGTGTGACTAAAATTTTCATTTTATTTAATTCTAACTTACATTTAAGTTAGCACACATGGCGAGTAGATCCCATATGGGACAGCACAGGTCTAGACAGTTAACGTCACCCGTTCCCACGCACCGTGCAGACATAGAGGTTTACCTTAGGCATCAAGTAACAGAGACTTGGTATTATTCCATGGACTGGAGCTATTTCACCTTCCTAAGGCTAACTTCCCAAAGAACCATGTCAGAGTAAGATTCCCACGTGCCAGGAAATAAATGGAGAGATTCCTCATCAAAAAAGCAAAACAAAAATAATCCTCCAAGATAACCCCCCATCACCTGTAGTAAGATTTTCACTGACGTTATACTTAAAATTTTTTTTTAAAAAGGAAGCAACATATTCAACAAACCAGTAATTATTCATGGTACAAAACCAATGAAAACTACTCAAAAGGCTAAAGAGTCGGAAAAAAACACATAACTCTGATGTTGGGGGATGAAGTCCTTAAAATGGTATGTTCTCTAGAATTGTAACTATGTACAATACATGTGCATAAGGATATTTAAAAAGTTATCTCAAGGCAATATGCTTGCGACTTCTCCTTTTCACACATCAAGTGACACTGCTTTTTTTTACCCTTTAAAAATAGCATTTTCCTATGAATACGTCCTTTCTACTTTTGCATATGTTTGAAATATTTCAGTAAAACATACGTCTAAAAAAAATCAAGGTAAATACATTCAGAAGGAAAAAAACAAGGGTATCGAAGTTTTACAAACTCAGTATGATCTGGGAGCAGGGAAGAGTTAACAAGACTGACACCAGCACTAACAACACTAGCAGGCACGGGAGCAGCAATAGCCTGCACTTACAAAGTCCTCACTCCAAGCCAGGCAACTCTGAGTACTTTACGTGCACACTCAGTTTCACTACAGCCAATGACCTCGGTACCATTACTATCTCCATTTTGTATATGGTGGAAACTGAGGCACAGAGAGGTTAGGTAACTGCGTTTCAATCCTGGGCTTATCCACCATGCTGCCTCTGTCAACAGATGAAATGAGCAGTGTCGAAACTTTCATGAAGGCACAAGCTACCCACATCTTGGCATTAAAACTGCATATCCTCACAGATGGCCACCCCAACCCCCACCCCGTGCACAGTCTTCCTTACTCTCAAGTTCAAGGCCCACAGAATGATCTCTAAGCAGAGAACGTTAAGGGATTTCTGTGGCTCTGTTGGATACTTCGCAGAGGTCCTGTGCTTACTTTCAAGGAGCTAAACCACAGAAAGTAGCCCACGGCCTCAGAGACACCCACACATGGTGACCTGGGCATTCTCCTGTCATATCAGGGGCTACTCAGAAACATTAGCTGATGAATATTCTTATCAAACAACAAAAACCTTTAAAATACACACACACACACACACACACACACACACCCCCAAAGTGTAGGTTTTATTCTCTTTAAGTAATGTTCAGAAGTGCCTGAGGACTTGAGAAATATAGCAGAGGACATGCTTTATAACTAGGCGTTTTCTGTGTTCCAAGAAGGGATTTTTATACCTTTTCCCCACTATTTTTAAGTTTTTTTAAGGTACCAGAAGTGACCCTGCCTAGGTATTTGTTCCCCAAAAGTAAAGAACTCTCAATTATTTGTTCTACCTTCCTATGTTTGTCTTCCTGCATTAACACACTTCTGATCCATTTTACAGATGTGCTGAGTCATGCCTGTAAAACAGGAGAGCAGAAAATGTACACAGCCTAGGTTCTGGGTGAAGAGGACAGCATTTGAAGACCAGGGTGTTGTGGCTATGGCCATTTTATTTTTTATTTTTAGATTTTATTTATTTATTTGAAAGAGAGACAGAATGGGAGCGGGCGGCAAAGAGAGAGGCAGACTCCATGCTGAACAGGGAGCCCAACATGGGACTCGATCCCAGGACCCTGAGAACATGACCCGAGCCAAAGGCTGACCCTTAACTAAGCCAGCCAGGCAGGTGCCCTGCCACGGCCATTTTTAAAACAAGTAACACAGCCCTGGGAGTGGCTAACAGAGTGATTACTACTGAGAGGGTCCTCTCCAAGGAAACATCTCTCCAAAGTTACAGATAAAAATCTTCTTTCAAGGTTAAGTGTTGACAGAAGAAATCTAAACTGGGGTGCCTGGGTGGCTCACTCAGTTAAGCATCTGCCTTTGGCTCAGGACATGACCTTGGGGTCCTGGGATCGAGTCCCACGTTAGGCTCCCTAACCTCAGTGGGGAGTCTGCTTCTCCCTCTCACTGCGCTCCTTCCCCCGCTTGTGCTCTAATAAATAAATAAAAATGTTAAAAACAAGAAAGAGAAGAAGAAACCTAGACTGTAAACTCAAAGTGAAATGAAGAAACTTACCTTTGGAAAAATCCATTATAAAATGAGGGGGTTTTCCCCCTACAATTGTTAATAATGGTAATAAAATATGAACATCTCTCACTTTAAAAGTCTTTTAAAAAAATATTAATTGGGGGCGCCTGGGTGGCTCAGTGGGTTAAAGCCTCTGCCTTCGGCTCAGGTCATGATCCCGGGATCCTGGGATCGAGCCCCGCATTGGGCTCTCTGCTCAGCGGGGAGTCTGCTTCCCCCTCTCTCTCTGCCTGCTTCTCTGCCTACTTGTGATTTCTGTCAAATAAATAAAATCTTAAAAAAAAAAAAATTAATCGTCCACTTTTTGAAAGGGAGAGAACCAGACACACAGAACACCCCAATCTCAAGATTACAGTCAGCTGGTTACATTACTGGCTGCCTTAATTTTTAAAGGAAGTCCAAAGATCCCTGAGAAGTATGGTTTATGATGAGCAAACAGCTCTTACTTTTGCTTTGGACTAAATCAGCACTTACAAAAATGTAGTCCATTAAGACGCGATTCTTCAGCCTGACCTTACAGTATTAATATTAACAATATTACAACACTCATTCCTCAGTTTAGGCACTTAAACTAATAATTTGTATTCATATTTAATTTTTAAAAACACCAAATCATACTGCTCTCTCATCAAAAGCAGCACTATTTACCCCCTTCAGCCCAGAGCAGTGGTTCCTAGTTAGTCTAGATCCTCAATGTTTGTCCATCAAAATTACCTGTGGAGTTTTTCCAAACCCTGCACACTGAGGCCTCATTACCTACACCATGGCCTCTGGCTCAGGACAGACTGGCATATGTGTGTGTGCGCAGCTGCAGAGCCAGGAAATGCTACCTACCCTGCACACTCCTACCCGGAATAAACGGGAAGACAGCTATTGGCCTGCGGGTTCTCTGAAAAGGTTCA